TAAGCTTTGTTTGTATTAGGCCGGGTGAATAAAAATGAGCAATTGCTTTTACTCAGTAATTGGTCAGCTTTACGTGAATGAAAGCTTAAGAAATTTTCCATAAGTTTTTATTTACGTAAAGCTGAACAATTACTGAGTAAATTGCTTAATTTTACGTATATAAAAATTTGAGCAAAACTGCTGTTTTTTTTTTCACGTAAAGCTAACCAATTACTGAGTAAAAGCAATTGCTTATTTTTATTCACCCGGCCTATTATTTATAAGTCAAGTAGCATTTCATACAACAAGCCTTGTTTGTATTTCATTTCAACAACAAGCTTTGTTTGTATAGACGTGCAGCTAAAGATAGTATTTATCTACATATATATTATATACATATATATAAATAGCGATGGAAAATAAAAAAAACAATAAAGAAAGAGAAAAAGAAGATTTAATGGATTTTCGAAAAATAGTGCTCAACACAAGAGTCAAAGACTACCTCAACCAACTTGTTCAAGTTCTAAAAAGCTCAAGTTTAGCCCAAATACAGAAAAAATACAGTGAAAACAATTACTACATTCTTTTTAACTTTAAAATTCTGAAAGATATCATTGTCCAAATTGTAAATGTCCAAATTGTGAGAGTAACATGTTTATTAATGATAACTCTAAACTTAGAATGGGGTTTTCTTACAAATTAATTATTAGTTGCAAAAAATGTAAATATGAGTTTAACAGATACACTTCAAATGAGCTTTATAAAAGTAATTCAAAGCAAACTATTTTGGTATGGTGATAAGAGAAACTGCGAACAATAAAAGTTTATACGATGATGAAAAAGTATACCAAATGAAAAAAGGTATAAGAGCTGTTCTAAATCATTGTACTAATTTTCCAGACAAAATGCGGCGTCATATACTATATCCTAGAGGATTAAATAGTTGATGTAGGTTGAAGAACTGTGAAGAAGGAGTTGATAGTTACAAGCCTAAAGTAAATATTCCTCTGTGGATTTATGATGTTATAAAGAAAGCTTTTGATGAATTATCTGATGTTTCTCTTCTTAAAAAATGCATTCATGGAGAGACACAAAATTGTAATGAAGGACTTAATAACACAATATGGTCTCGATGTCCAAAAAATATTTTTGTTACAAGATCTTTGCTTGAAGTAGGTATTAATTCTGGAACACTTTATTTCAATGATGGTACATACGGTCTTAAAAGAGTTTTTAAGTTTCTTAGTATAAAATTTGATTTAAAAAACTCATTAGGATTTCGATTAAAAGATGCAAAGCGTTTAAAAAACATGCTTTAAAAAGATGATGTCAAAGTAAAAAAAAGACCAGAAAAGTTAAAAGCATTAAAAAAAGGTTGGAATAATAATATAAACTAGCAGTAAGCAACCCGTAATACGCGTTGTTAGTAAATAAAATTAAAAAAAAAACCGCGTATAGAAAAGCCTAGAAACCACTTTAAAATAGAAAAGCCTAGAAAATGACGTAACTCGACTAATAATAATAATATTAAATTAGCGTATTCATATTATCAGAATATGAATACGCTAATGCTTTTGTATTTTATTTTTCTTATTTTAAAAAAATTTGATAATAAATACTGTATTCAATATCAACTTATAATATTTCAAGTTTTTAAGAAACGCATAAAATGCGAAGCTGAGAAAAACAAAAATGAAAGTTTAACATCTCAAAAGTTTAAAGTCTCAACAAATAAATCTTTAAATCCTAATATCTTGCTATAGCAAAAAAGCCTTTTATGGCTTCATTTTTTTTTAAAAGCCTTCTATGGCTTCATTTTCTTTTCAAAAGCCTTCTGTGGCTTCATTTTCTTTTAAAAAGCCTTCTATGGCTTCATTTTCTTTTCAAAAGCCTTCTGTGGCTTCATTTTCTTTTAAAAAGCCTTCTATGGCTTCATTTTCTTTTAAAATGTCACTGTAGCTCTTCTGCTTTGATACGATAGACTTTCTTCGCTTTTTTACATTGTCATTAGCTTTTTTGGTCACGCGTTTTATAAGTGAAATATCCAGTTTCTTTACAATTTGGTGCGAAACTGGTCATGTCAATCTGAAATTTTCTAAGATGCCAAGGATTCCATTTCTGTCATTTTTAAAATGCATTACAGCTGAATAGGAGCACGTTTTTATCACTTCTATGCCAACAAATATAGATTTTGGTAAACAAAACCATATGATTGCGTTCAAAGCAGCTTTTACATTTCAGGTTTTGACATGCATAATCTTTCCCAATTACTCTTCAATAAAGCTTTGAAAGCTGGAAAAATGATATTTTTTTATCTATAGAGGAATCAAATTTAGTGGCTTATATGTCTTGCCCTGTCTTTACTGATATCCAGCCTAGGCACCCGATGCAGGGCCAGGGAGTTTGAAGAGGCCAACCATTTGATATCAATTTTGTTTTCGGTTAATTAAAAAAAAAACTTTCTTCAAATAAATTATAAAGATTAAAAAGAAAAGTCACACTTCACTTTTTATATTTTAACTTTAAATCTTAAATCTGTTAAAAAAAATCAAGTAGTTTTCTTCAATACATATTTTAGTAAAAAAACTTGAGAAAGAAATAGAATTCTTCTCTTCTAAGTACTTTATTTATAAGTAAAGTAATAAATAATTTCAAATAATTTTTATAAGTGAAAATATTAGTAAAAAATCATCAGAACTTTTAGAGTTAAAAATAAGGGATCAACTAGAAGTTTGAAGTGATCAATTAATAACATAGATGAGCCTAACAAGCAAAAGAGCGCATAATTTCCGGAGTTTCTTGCAATCTTCATTTTCTCTATAATGTTGCGTCGTATTTTATTTGTTTCTTCTGAAAAGCCCTCGTTTATAAAGATCCCTTTTCCTTTTAGCTTCTAAGCATTTTTCAAGATTAGTTCTTTATCTTTATAATTTAACAGTTTAAGTATAACAGTTCTAAGGGTATCCATTTTATTACAAGCTTTTCCAATTCTGTGTGCCCTTTCGATTACTATATTTTTTTAGCTGAAGTTGTTCATTAAAACTTTTTGAAGTTTTTTTTAGTATTTTCTCAAATTTCTCGTTCATTTTCTCGTAATCAATAAATTCTTATGTTATTTATTCTATTTCTGTCTTCAAACCTTCTCATCTTTTCTTTTAGCTCATGACATAAGTTTTATGCTTCATTACACAAAGGATGGCGAAACGAAATTTGCTTGTACGTAAACGGTTTTATTTGAAACGTTTACGATTTCGCTATTAATTACTTTGTTTAGATCTTTATTAAGAGATATAATTTTTTCATCGATAAAGATTACGGTTGAAGACCTACTTTTCCGTAGGTCTTCAACCGTAAATTGTAAAGTTTTTTGTTTTTCTTCTACTAATGACAAACATTCAGTAATTTACTCGATCGACTTCATAATACATTTCAATGTAAAAAAAAAATCGAAGGAGATTTTTTCTGGGATAATATTTTCACAAGGGGATTTTTTCGGGAGGATATTTTCCGCGGGGATTTTTCACCGGGGGACTTTTTACTGTTACCGGTTATAATAATTCCAGCACTAAGTAAAGTCCTCACCTAAAAAATCATTCAAGAACTTGAAATTTTTACTGGTCTGGAAATGAAAGCTAAAATTAGGATTCCATATTATACAACAATTGTTTTATATTACAATAACATATAAAATCTTGATTGGCATATTATATTTTAAATAAATTTTAAAAGATTGCTTTTTGTCCTCAGTAAGTTCTTTAGTGCTTTTTTTTGAACAATCTAGTTGTTTTGCAGACAAGTTATTTTATGGAAATATTTTGATTGTTTAAATTAATAATCGACTAACGGCAATTTCTTGTAAAATACCTTAACTACATCGAGTTTCTATTACATTGAAGACATTAGAAACTGCATTAGCGACGTTTTTGTGAATAGCGCAAAAAAACAAATAAATAATTTTACGCTGCTTAACTGAACGATTATAAGATACTTAAAGATACTTAACTTTAAAAGTTATGTAAATTGCTACGGCAACAAAATTTGTATATTCAGCTATTCATAAAATTAAAAAACGTCCTTTATGAGGACATAATTATTACTGTTGTTACGACTATTAAATAATTCGACTGTCGAGTAAATCAACTAATATTTTTTTTAAAGTTGGCACGAGAGTCGAGCAAAATTTAGGGTCCTTTTTTTACGAAGTGAAAATTTTTTTAGAAATTAGGGCTCTAATGAGAGTTTTTGGAGGGGCCACAGACCCACTAACCACGTCACTGTTTAGCACCAATAAAATTTGCATGTTTCACTTAGGATTGTTATTCTTTTTATTCCTCACTTTCAGCATTTATAGTGTCCAGCTCCTTTTTAAATACTTCAAAACTTTGCTGTATGTTAGTGGGGTTTTATACCTTCTCCCACTCCGGTACAACCGGTTCACTGAAGTATATTTTGAGAAAGAAAAACAATATTTTGATTATTATATAACTCATTGAAATTTAAGTCAATATCTGTTTTCTTAGAGATTTTGTTGCTAGTGTAACAATCCTGATGAAAAATATTTTTGTAGATATTTCTGCTGATGTTAATTATTAAAATATTCCAATTATAGAAAATTGCTAACAGTGCTGGAGTTAGTATTAGTAAATTATTGTTATCATATTAAATGTAACAGTGCTGGAGTTATTATTAGTAAATTATTGTTATCATATTAAATGTGCCCATTTTTTAATTAAGATTTTACAGCATTTAACAATAGTTTTAAAACAGAAAACCTTTTTAAGAGTTTTTATAAATAATGAATAAATTTTTGTTTTTGCTTAAAAATAATATTGTGTGCCTATCAAAATTACTTTATAATAACTTTTTTATAAACTGTTTTTTTTTTATGTACGATAAAGGCATTATGGTAAGTAAAACACTTATGTGTTTTATTTTCATGTAAAACACATAGTTAACAAAGCAAAGTTAGCAACTACAAACATATAAACGTATTTACAAGCGTTTAAAAAAAATAATTTAACCTTGTTTTTAAGGGAACTTGTTTCTTCAATTTCTAACCCTTCTGCTTTTAGGTTATCCAAGAACATATTTCTTTCATCTTTTTTTTTTTGTTCTGATAAATTATTTTTATCTTCAGCTACCTCATAAGCCAAAATATAATCAATAGTTCTTATTCCATCTTCAAAATATAAATCATTTGATGTCATTTCTTTTCTTCCTGACATTTCAATATTTGTAAGGAGACCTTCTTTATCAGACATTTTTGATCAATTACAAATCTAAATTAAATATTGAATTAAAATACAAAATAAATAGATAATAGATTTTTTTTTACTTTTTATTTTTTGTACTGTTGTCGATCGTGTATTAAAGCTAAAATATATAATTATTTAGTATATTTACTAAAGTATGAAGTGTATTAATTAAAAAAGAATCAGTGCAACCATTAAATATATTTCTAATCCTAATCTAAATAATTTACATTATTGCTAAAATTTTGATTTTGGCGACATTATGCAATATCCATATGGTTTACCTACACATGTTATATACAAAATTTGGACAGTATTATAAAAATAGTTACTAAATACGACGCTAAATAATTATTATAAAATGAAAACAAAAAACAATGTAAGTTTTAAGCATCGATATCTATTCAAGTAAATAATATCAATAGCAATACAATAAATAAAGAAAAATCATAGTTAAAAAAGGAAAAAACTTGCCCTGTTTAATAACTATTTATTTAACAGAAACTTAAATTTCTTTGTTTTGTTTAAGTTTTTGTTAAATAGATCAATAAGGTAACGATGACTTTTTTTTGTCAAGCTACTTATTTTAAATTTAAGTTGATTGGTTACCCGGTTAGCTTCCAACTTGCTAGATGTCAGCAGTTCACTATGTTAAAAATACATCATTAGCCGAATGTGGACAAAAGAATATACAAGTAATAATTTCTTAAAAGAGTCCTCAAGCTCTCTACATGCAACGCAGCGTTTATAACCTTAATCGTGCTGGCAGTTCTTCTGTGGAAACGAAGAACTATTTTGGCTGGGTTTAGTTAAATTTTTTGCGTAAAAATCCAATCCATTTTTGTTCAAAAAACAATGCATAAAAACATTTAGTTTTACTTTATTAAAAGATGGCGTTTTTGTATTATATGAGCATGCTCAAATAACCCAGTGTTTTTCATTAAAATTAACTAGTTTTAAGTCCTGAAATAGCAGTGGTTTTAATTGCTTTTTAAATAAAAACAAAACATAGTAAAAATTTTTAATATTTTAACATTACTAAATATTTTTCTGTAATTTGAATTCAAAAATTCTGAATTTTTATCGTTCAAAAGTTTGAGTTAATAAAATTGAAAAATAAACGAACAAAATTTTTTGTTTTTGTTTTTGCGGAAAACGTAGTAGTATTGTTTTAATAAAAGGTGGTTCAAAATTTGATTTTTTAATGATAAGTTTTATTAATAACGAATCATAATATTTCAAAAATTAGTTTTTATTGTTAGATTAGTAATTTTTTTTTTGCTTAATTAATGTTATTTTTTGAGCTAATTTAAAGTGCTCATATTACCAAGTGGTCTTGGTAATATGAACACTTTTGGTACTTTTTTAAATCCTCTGTGTTCTTAAGAAAAAATTTCGGGCGCACAAATATCTATGTGGATCATGAATAGGGATCCCTAAAAATTGTTTATTCGCAAAAAATTTTAATCCAGCATAATTATTTATGAAAATATTTAAATTTTCGCTTAAGGTGCTCATATTACCCTAATCTACCCTATGACGTTTTTATTTTTAACCGATTTTTTTCCCGACCTTTTATGTAAATTTTCATTTTCAACCGATCTGATATAAATTATTTTTCAACCGATTGTAGTAGATATTTATTTTAACCTATTAGTCTATGTTTTTAACGTTTTTTACTAGCGTTTATAATTTTTTTATACAAACTAATACAGTGGAGGGATAGGGTAAAAAACATTTAAACCGATAAAAAAAAGTACAATAAAGCTCTTTCCTACAGTTATTAAAAAATATATCAAAAGTAGCTCCAAAAAAAAACCCAATCCATTGTTTTTTTTTTTTTTTGGCTCACTCTAGATATATTTCCTAATGGTCACGGAAATGTCCATATTTGGGCATAATATGGGCACATAAAGAATAAATTGATTCAAAAAAAATCCACTTCAAATACACCGTTGAAAAGATAATATAATACTTTTAACAATAATTATATAAAAATCTTATTTTTAAAATGAGTTCTTTTAAATTATATTAAAAAAAATGATTTAAACAATCGTAACGCTTTTATTACTAATAGTATAAACATACGCAATAGCGCAGCAATAAATAACAGTTTAACAGTTATAAATTTATGCAGTACAGTATAATTTATGCAGTACAGTATAATTTATGCAGTACAACTTAAAATTTATGCAGTACAGTATAACTTTATAGTAGTAAAAGTATGATAGTTTTTTAAGTATAATAGTTTTTTACTTTGTTTATGCAGTACAGTATAATTCCATATTCAGTTCACCCTTAGTACATTATTATATTAGTAGTACATTAATAATATATTATATATTATGAGGAATTCTACATTATATTATATCAGCGTAGAGCATATCGCTATTATAATAAAAGGCTTTATCATAATGTGAAAAAATACGTTAGATAAAATTTCATCCTTTTTTTTACCCCCCTCCCCCACCCTCTTCCTTTGTAGCGAGTGAGAACAACCGCATCTGGATGTGCCACGGCCGGCACTCAAATCTTTAAAAATATATACAAAATACATACCGGAAAATACGTAGATATAAAGTTGATCGGAAAAAGAGTCGGTTGAAAGTAAAGTAGGTTGAAAATTCAGTAGGTTGAAAACTCAGTTGGTCAAAAATACAATAGGTCAAGTTAGTAACACAGGTTTTAATTAGGTGTAAGTAGAAAAATCAACTTTTGTTGGTTAAAAATTAAAATCGTCAGAATCAATGCTTTTCGAAATTTCGAAATTAGGTTGAGTTATAAGTAGGGGTGAGCAACATTGGATATCTGGTCTGGTTTGTTAAAATTGGATTCGGATTTCAACAAACCGGACCAAATACCTAGTTTTGCTCACTCCTAGTTAAAACTTTCAAATTGAAAGTTTTAACTAGGGGTTTTGCTCACCCCTAATTATAGGCCACCAAAAAAACCTTATCTTACTTAAAAGAATGTAAACCTTTTTTGTAAAAAATTGTTTACTTCAATGAAGCTGTTGAATGGAATTTACTTGAAAAGTCTTCTGCCTCTTTGAATCAAAAAATATTTTACTTCACATTTTCAACACGATTCCTGTTTTCATCAATCAAGGTAGCGGTCTTTTAGTAAGTTTGGTCGAATCAAGACAGCGCTAAGATCTAGAACAAAGCTAGTCCAACTCGCCAATCTTTAGTTATTTCCATCCAAATAAAACTCTGTGCTACGATAAAGTTACTGCAAAGTTTGTTGTGAGTAAAGCCCGGAAAGTTTGTTATTAAGCAGACCGTAGGTCTCAAATTTAAATTTTATTTAATAGCAATATTCAAACGTTAAAAAATTGTAATTCTTATTTATACTTTATCTCAGTTTGTTTATAGCTGTTTAACAAAGTTCTAAACTAAAATATCGTTTTGATCTAGAAATAATCTGTTCAAATGTTTTTTATATATTTTAGAGCAATTATTAGTTATCAAAACTTTTTGAATAGATTTTTAAATCTGATGAGAGAAATTTAGTGGATTTGATAAATTGGATTTTAATGGGTATACATATATATATATATATATATATATATATATATATATATATATATATATATATATATATATATATATATATATATATTCAGATTTATAATCCAATAATATTCTACTTTTGTATCAAAGAGTTCAGCGATTTTCGAAAACAAAATTTTGATAATAAAAATGATGATAACGATGATGGTGGTAATGATGATAATGATTTATAACTGGAGATTGTAAAACATGGCGCATTTATTTATAAAAAAATCATTGTTTAGTGCTCAGTAGCAGATGATTAGCTAAAAATAGCTAATCATAATTATTATTAGCCAGCAGCATTTGTAACAATATAGGTAGTAACTTAGCTGCAAAAATCTTTTTTTTTTTTTTTTATTGAGATAAACTAGTTCATACAACTATAAATTAATTTTCTTTGTTCAATAATCTGGGCGGAAAAATTCTCTAAATATTTGTTTCCAATACACTTTTAAAAAACATTTTAGTATGTTTATTAAAGTAGCTAATTAGCCAGTAATTAGTCGCTATCCTATTTCCAGCTGGTTGAATTGAAACATGGTTTTTCTTTTATTGAATTCAATGGAAGAAAAAAAACACGCTATAAGTTAAACAACATGAACACTTTTGTTGTTGTTGTAATGTTTTTCTTATTTTACACAGGGTAATTTTATTCTGTCAATAGTTTTGAACTTTGTTATATCTTTAAACTCGAATTAAAACTAGACAAGCAAATAAATAAGCAAAAAAATAAAATAAAAAAAGAAAAAAAAAGTAGAATTTCCTATCTTTATAATTATAACTTGTCTTCATATTTCTTTAAATAACTGTTTGTTGGTAAATTATACAGCTCAAAAATGCTTTTTCGTTTTTTCCTCATTACTTGAAACGTTAATAAAGCAATAACAAGTCTTTTTATCTTAAAACTGTTTTCCATTTCTATTTTATTGAGGCAACTATTGAAACTGTTTATAACAAGTTATTACATGAACTCATTTCCAGCATAAAATTTCCGACGCTCAGAAATAATGCGCAATATTGCTTAACCGGAACCATAAGAAACATTTTTATAATTAAAAATGTCTAGAACAAAATAATAAAGGTGACCAAAAATAGTAACTGTAATCAACCGCTACTTTTTTGGTCAGTGCTATTTTATCAAATCAAAAGCAAACCTTATAATGTTCTACTCGTCCTAGTCAAATGAACGAAATTTAAAAAAAACGAAATTTAAAAAAAAAAAGCTACCCACCAAACCTTTTATCAATTAGGTAGATCAACGTCATAAATACATTTTGCAAGAACTTACCATTTTGAGAGATTTGCGAGAACTTTACCATTGATTGCAACTTCAAATTGGAACCTAAAAGTAAATTAAAGTTTAATTAAAAATTAAGTCTTTTATGTAAGTTTTCAATATAGAATCGAATTTTGTTTTCGGTTGTAATTTAAATAGAATCAATACTTAAATAAAATCAATTCTTAAATAGAATCAATAGTTAAGATTTGTATTGCTTTTGACAATTTATTATTTTAAAAATATTGATGATTTTGGAATTTACGTTATGAGTGACAAACACCATCAGATAAGTGAGTTAAATTTAAAACATTTCATTAACTTTATAGATTTTATGAGTTAATTTTTCTTTAAATATTAGTCTTAATCTATTCAACTATGAGATATATTGAAATATCAATAAAATTAGGGGCATAAAATGAAGAGGGAGGGGCGAGTTCTTAAAAAGTGCCGACTGTCTTCTTTAAAAAAAACACCTTCAAAACTCTTAATCTGCCGAATTTAAATGCGTCAAATGCTGACTAGCCGATTAAATTCCTAAAAAAACTGACTATAAGTTAAAAGTTCCTTGTTTTGGGGAAAGGATCACCCCCCCCCCCCCCCCACACACACACACACATACATTCTCTCTTAAATCCGTCTCTGTATGAAATATACGTAACATATTAATATCCCAATAACTCGATTTAAAATTCAAACAATTTTATTATAATTGTATACCATTTTTTAACAGCCTGCCTTAAAGACCTAATTTACTTCCTTATTTTTAAACAACATGGTGTGTTAAATATATTGATCTGTTTTCTGATATTTAACAGTAATTAGTGGAAGTGAATTTCCGACATTTTGAAGTTTTTATTCTTTTCTGCTAACTAAAAAAAGATTAACTCTTTACAGTTCATATTTTTTAAAATGGTTTTATATTTTTTGTTTTCTGTTTTATTTTTTTTAACTAATAGTATATGTATTGCCTGAAAAAAAATATTAATATAATATATGACTTTAAGTCATATATTAAGTATGCTGTAGGAATATTTTTGTATTCCGTCAGGATATTTCATTTTT